GAACACAAACACACATCAAGAGTATTTAAAACATTTTTAATTATTATTTTAATACATTAAAAAAGATGCTTAAGTAGAAACAAAAAATAATAATTTGACCCCAAATTTTTTTTGAAGAATCTGAATATTTCCAGACTACGCTGCAGTGAATTATGACAACTGATGAAAATGTTCCTTAATGTTGAGCCTTCTATTCAATCTGATCAGTATTTAGTGATGCAGTGTGAGGCCATTGCCTGCAGAGGGAGCTGCAATGGTGAGCTGAAATCAGCAATGTATTAGGTAATGAAAAAATGTCAAGTACTGCAGCTGAGGTTAAGCACAGTCTGTGTGTGCGTGTGTGCTTGTGTGTGTGTGTGTGTGTGTGTGTGTGGCCAGATGGAGACTAAACGAATGAGACAGAGCTCTAGACAGAGAAAGCATGTCATGTGTCATATATAGAAAAATAACCGACATCATCTTGGACTTAAACTGTAGGATATTTCCGTTCTGTTTAAAAAGTAATACTCTGCCCTGAGTTGTGAAATGTTCAGACTGTAAGTCTGTCGAATGCTGATACCATCAGCCACTTCACTTCTTCCTTCCTTCCTGAGTTTTTTTTAGACACAAACAACCAAATTCTGTGTGTGGATTGAAGGACTGTAAAAGTCCTACAAACTAATGCAGGGAAATAACACATTAATACCAGTGATATTTCTTGTGGCTTGTGATACACAGTCAGACACTTAGCTCTTTGGTTTTAATACAAGCAGACAGACATGTTGTCCTAAATTCACAAGAGACACAATATGGGAAAAACTAGAGCTTCAGAACATGTTGTCATTTTCTTCCCTCCTCATTGTGAAGCCTTAATTAAACATTTTTAATCATTAATAATGATCAACAACTAGTCCTTAAAGGATGGATGTTATTCATGTGAATGGCCCCTCGACTTGTTCTACAAAAAGTCTCAGGAGAGCAGAACATGCAAGATGATACTGTGAAAACAAAAACTGAGCACATGAGAACCAGTTAAGTGAATACAGAACAACTATCAACACAACCCTGCTGCAAGGCTGTGAGTGTACCAAAAGGTTCTCCCCGGATAAAATAGATTAGAGATACCACAAAAAAATGAGTTTTTTTTTTTAATTTGCAGGCACAAATATGAATTGCTTTTGCACCCATAGAAAACCACATGAACTCAGTTTGAGAACAAACAGAGAAATACTTAATCTCAACGACTCACCATTATTTGAATCTCGCACTTGCACACTTGCAGATCATGCTCATTGTTGACATACATTCTCTTCAGGGCGCAGCGCACCCCTTGATTTGTTTTCACAAGAAAAACAATTGCAAAACCACCTGCAGGGATTAGACAGAGACCACATGAAACAGTCAATCCTCATGACGATGAGAGGCGTGTTACCAAAATCTTGACAATGAACAGTTGGGCAGATGCATAGAGGCAGATTACAACATTATAAACTGATTTCATTACAATCAAATCAAAATGTAGGATATGACACTCCAAGCATCACCCAAGTTGTCAGGCATCAGGATTTTTTTTTATTATTTAACTCACATACATGATTTTACACCCAACTACAGCAACAAGTTTAGTCTGCATGTAGCCCTACATCAAAAGCGACAATCTGGACCAAATGGAGCAGCCTTATAGCGTCATGTATTAGTCATGTCATTGCTGCAGGGTTTACGTGGAGGCCTACATTGAGGCCTAACCATCTGGTATAGCTCTGACCACAAATTCACTTTGCCGAGTTTCGCTGTGACCGAATTATCAATTTCCGTCAGACTGAAATGGCTTGTCCAGCAGCCTCGACATGACACGTGTTAAATGGCATTGTACTGCACTGTAGCTCTATAAATGTGAAAGAGATACCAATGGCCTCCGGTGCTGGATGAGGCCGAGGGTTTTCAATTGGCTTCAGCTGCAAAAGTGAAACTCCTGATCTGATGTACGGGGGACCTTCATCCTTCATAATATACAGACAAAACTCTGGATTTGGAAATCTTGCCAAGTTCGTGGCTTGACGCACTTATAAGAACTCTTCTGCAGACGTGATTACAGTAGACACGCTCAGTAGAAACGTGGGGAAAGTAAAAAGTCTGCGGCAGAGTACTTCAACAAAAGCATACATTCTTATGCGGTACTGCTGTATATTTTGTGAAAAGAATCACATTCTTTGTTCTTACATGATGTTTAAAAGAAACTGATGAATAAAATGACTGTATTTTGGTCCCTACTTCAGCAGCAGTCATTTCTCCCTGATGCCAAAACAGCCTTATAAAGTGCCCACCCCTGGGTCTGCATGGAATATTGCAATCATGCATGATTTCCAACTTGTGCTGTACACAAAAAAAACCCTCATTCATTCATTTTAAAAAGGAAAAAAAAAAAACTCCCAATAACTGTACAGACACAACCAGGTCTCCGTCTCCTTGAATCACACTTCTGAATCACAAAATAGCTAACAGGATACTGTTGTTAGTCAGAGTCCAGCTGAGAAAAAGCAGTAGGCCTCTAATTTGCTATTTGATGCAGAGCTACATCATTCCTGTGGTGTGATGGCATAAGGTTCCATCCCTGGTCCGTCATGTGACTCATCAATCAATCTCACTCCAGCCTGAACAACATGCACTAAAATAACAAGGAAACATTTGGCCTCTTTTGCATTTGCAAACCAACCTTCAGCAATGATCTCCTCCACAGTGACTTGGTGCTTCCCGACAGTGAAGGCTTTGCCAATGAAATTTCCGCCCGCATGGCTGGACCCAGAGCTGCAACCTCCTCCTCCAGAACCGGGCCCGGAGCTCACCAACTCCCGACGGGAATCGAAGAACTTCCTCATGTTGTCGCAACGACGGGAGCAGTTAACTCAATCACAGAAACACACACGAACCGCTTGTTTCCTGTGTTGTTTAAATTATTGCACTGATAAGACAATACAGATCAGACTGTACACAGAAAAAGGCTCCGAAGCTTCAAGTAAGTCTATTTACAGCCTCAGAACATGCAGTGATCCATTCGCCACCTATGATGATTTTGAGATAACCCAGATTTTTGGGTGGCAAAATTCCCATTTGCTTGACAACACACGCTAGTTGGTGATAGCTTGAAGCGGCTAGCTGTTATGTAAGTGAATTACACCACCCAGGAGCATAAAGCATCTCCGGAGAAAGTCTCTCTTTAGCTATCCATGCAGCTGCACACGGTCGGCTGCTGCTGCTGATAACATTAGGTCCTTCTCCATCTCGTCCAGTCGTTACAGAGCTAGCTAAGTGCTAGCTACTTACGCGCTATGACATTTCGTGTAAGGTTATCCAGGTTATCCTCTAAAGATGCTGTCTCCAGTGCGAGATATCCGCAGTGTAATTCGTTTGGTAGCGTTGCCCGAAAAAATATTTCCATCCTTAGCCAAGTGTCGCGACCGTTACATGGCACATAGCTACCCGTCAAGCTATTTAATTGCTCCCATTTACGATTAAAAAAAACTATGGTTTCAGAAAGCTAACGCTTTTAGCGCGTTTCAGCTCCTCTACAAACAAACGATTATTGATGACAGGGAACTACAACCTACGTACGTTGCAACTGCAGCTACAAATAAAGAAACCACTCAATTTTAAAATCCCCCAAAAAACGTCAGTCAGAGGTTAAAACCCAGCAGCCTAATCTCTGCAACCACAGCAATCTTTGGCTGCCAGCGATATCGCAACATCCTAGCTGTTGCTGTTGACGCGCGGATGGAATTGTGGGTAATGTAGTTCATCGAGTAGGCGCAACAACGCCCCCCACCCCTCCTGCCCCCAATGCTGCGTTCCGGTGAAAAAGCGCGTACTGAAAACTGTGGACAACTGTGCATGTCATAGACTGTACATGAAGGTTTATACCGTGGTTTCATTTCCGAGACGGAAAGCAGTTCACGAGTTTTTGTAAAGAACCATAAAGAAACACAACCAATTGTGACAAAATGGCTGGATAGCCATTATTGTCAAAAGGTTTAAATAAATATAGACTAATATTCACCGTCAGGCTAACTGTTCGTCCTAATAGGAAATTAAACACATTTATCATGTATCTGCTTTCCGTTTTTTGTTCATGTGAATGTGATAAAGCTTGGCGAAATGGCACATAAAATGTTGTTTATTTGTGTCCACCAGTAGGTTATAAAATTAGGCCGATAAGCTCTCATTTAGTAAAAGTCGTAGCCTAGTTATTTATATCACAGTGTTAAAGTTATTTGTTGCAAATACACGTTTTTGAGTAAATTTAAATAAATGAAAAAATATGTTTATGTGGGCTTATGAAAGACCAGAAAACTGAATTGAGATAGGCCTATTCCATTATATGACAGGCCCCTGTATATTAAAAAAAAATCTAATTAGCCTAGTAATTACTGATCTCACGAAAAGGGTGATCTTATCATTTTGTCATTAACTGGACTAATTGAGTTCTGAAATAGCACTTTAACAATGCGTGTTTGTTCAATGCAAAACTCAAACAATAACAGAAACACGTGAGAAGTCCTACTTGAAATGACTGAAGGCAAATTATTCTAGGAAAGTAAAATGTTTTCCAAAAGAGACAGTCGTGAAAATAAATGCCAATTATTGTTCTGAGCACCGTCTGATTGATATATCGATTGATTGTTTGAGCTGTGCCTTAAATATATTAGGTTTTTTTTCTAACATAGCCTATCAATATTCAATAAATTATTTATAATTCTGTTTGAAAACTCTTAATATTTGATGTTGCCTAACAGCTGCCAAATGGTAGTAGTAATTTAGAAAGTATAACATTTCCTGAAATGTAGGTAGGTAGAAAGTATGCGCGTCAAATTTAAGTAGGACAACAGTTCTGTAGATTATTAAATTTGACCACTGATAACTGCAGGTTTACTTGTATTACGGGAGGGTTTCCATTCTACCGACACTCCTTGAATGCAGCAGCAGCAGCTCGCGTGCACGTTGCAAGCGCGCACGCGAAGGGAGGACCCTGATAAATATGTGCATCACGGTGGGTGGGACATCTGAGCAGCTGGCACTTATAAGCTGTATTTACCTAGTCCTGTGACGTCTCGCACTCGTCTCGTCGAGCTCCTCGCTGAGTAAATTGTCGTCAGGACAGGTAAGGCGTAATTCAGAGACTTAGAATCGAAGTTGTTTTTCAGTTTATGATAGAGTTGAGCTCAGACTGTTGTGGTTGGTGCTGTGTTTGTGTGTAGGGAGTGCCCTGCAACTTCATGCCAAGTGAGCTGTTAACTTCGCGCTCTGCTTCCTGAATCACTTTCGATATGTCTTCAAACTTTTAAAAACTATTCTTACCATCATTAAGCAGGTTTGTACGGCTCTGTGGAATAGGAAACTCTAACTTTGGTAGGCATACACATTTCTCGTGAACAGTTTACTCTATCTTTACTTTTCACGTTTATAAGAATACCCTTTTCTCACTATTACACAATTTCAAATGAAGGTGCTGACGTTATATGTTTCTGAGCCAATCACGTGCTGTCTAAAAATAAAAACAGGAATATGGTCAGTAATTGTTTTGAGAATTAAAGTAACAGGACTGTAATGCATCCAGGATACTTTAAGATGCATGTTAAGCAGGTTTATGGAAATGACCTTGAAATCTTGAAAAGTACACATTTACTAAAATTGACTTGTGGTTAACTGGAGCCAAGAGAATGTCATACATCATTATCTTTAGCAACTAGATCTTATTTGTTATACCCACAGTCTGTGGTCCACAAAGTGTGTGTGAAGGAGTCACCTGTCCTGTATTTACATCACAGACCACTCAGGTATGTGGCTGTTGACCCTCATGCACACTTTAAGTCATAATGTTTTACTAGTAAATGTCTCTAATGACACATCCCAGCACAGGGATCAGGTTTTTCTTATTATTAGTTAAACAGACTGTCATGGTTTAGTATAAATAGATAGTGTTCTTGTTTGTAACAAAAACATATAGGCTGGATTTTTTGTAAAATAAGTTTTTCTTCTTTAAACAATTTTTTTTGCTGGGGGGAGGGGATTGTGACACATAAATGAATATTATGTCAGTGGGTAAGCTGATCCATCCTGTCAGGAAACCCCCTCTTCCTTTCCTCAGTGGAGTAATCACAGGTGTTTCCAAACTCGAGCTTAATTAGATTCGCTCTCCGGTCTCTTGCACAGAGGTGGGACACAGGCCCAATGTGTGTGACGGAAACCCTCTCTGACATGAGGAGATGATGAGCTGCATACAATATTGATCAGAGGTTAATGAGGGCCACAGGCAAAGTGGAAACCATTTACTATCTCAAAACCTGATGACCTGCAGTGTATTACACCTCACTCATTGAAGAGACGATTGTGTAATTTGACATTATGTATTTTGTTTGTTTTTTTTAGCTTTCTTCATCTCCAGAAATCCACAATCTCCCGCTCTACTCTACAATGGCAGCGGTAAGTTTGTCCTGCAGCTGCTGTTCCTCCATTGCACAGTGATAAGAGGCAGAAGAGATGTAATGAGGGGTTTACTGTGATCAATCATCAAGTTTCAATGAGAGGCAATATTTTCTCAACAAAACAATATGCTCATTGTAGTTTCTAATTTCAAACTACATTGAAGTGATTGATAAAAGACAATGACTGAAACAAGTAGCTTAGATGTTTATTAACACACAAAAATATGTTAAATCGTTGATCCTTGCATCTCTATATATTGTTCATGTTAACGTATTGTCGCGCACCTTGAATATTGTTTACTGGTATATGAATTTGCATCCTGAGCAGGGACCCTGCTATCATCTTGTGCTTGGTTTTGAAAAGATCTTGGCAGCAATCTACATGTATGAAAAACATTTGCATCAAAGTGATGATTAGTTAGTATTTATCAGTTGTATTGTTGAGTTTTTCTCTTTGATGTTAATAATAATACTCTCTTGAAGTTAAAGCAGTTCCGCCTATTAATTATTACTCAGCCATTGAAAGTTTATATATTTAAAAAAAGGTTTACTTAAACCCTGATTAAGGACATAATTCTTCCCATAAAGTCAATCATCCTAAACCATGCTTAGTTGCAATAAGTGTCTCAAAGATAGATTTTTTTTTTCCCTTGCATATTAAAATGGTAACATACATGAATAATTGAGTATCTGTGCTGAGTTGCATGCTTACATTATAATTCAGATGTTATTGAGCTTTTAAAACCTCCCGAAATTTGTTTCAATACAATCAAAAAATATTTATTGCTTCCAAAATATACATTTAGAAATGCTGAATAAAAATGTAAATGTTGTTTATTACAGTCGTTTAACTGCTTCACATTGGGTGTGTTGTATTGTTGTAAGAATATTATATATTCCCAGTTTCTATGGCAGAAATGTCAGATTTCCACATTTAACGTTTTTAAATGTTCGTTCAGCCTGTCACAATGTCATGCTCGTATCTGCACAACTTGACCTCTGAGTGACAGAAACAAACTTCCCCTTCAGTAGATGAATGTTAAAAACAGCTGGAACGATCATCAAAATCTGATCAGTAGCTAATAGATTATTGGCTGGATCTTGTTGTTTCTTACCAGATTGGAAAGAGAGGAACAGTGACTGAGGCGGCTGGGTTTGACCCAGAGGCAGATGCCCAGCGACTCAGAGGAGCCATGAAGGGAACTGGTGAGTGATCCTGAAACTATCATTAGCTGAGGATATTTTGAACTGTGGCATTAAGAATAAGCCTCCATGGGAAAAAAATATAATTAATCTTTCCCTTCGCCTTTCTCTTCTTCTCCTCCAGGAAAGTCGAGCTAAAATAGCTTTACTGTTGTCATAGCAGCTTCAGATTAAATTTTTTTTTTTTCTCGTCCATTCATTCTGCTGAGTGTGTCCTTGTACTTTGCCTCAACTCTCTACCCTTTATATGGAGGAGAATCATGACTTTGCTGAGTAGACAGGAAGCTGTCATAAACTATCTCATTACGGTTGGCACTGCTATGAAACAATGTTGCAGGTATTTACCTCTCATCGAGGGCTTCCGTACATACATTGGGGAGCATGTAACAAACACTATAATCTCTCTATCAGCACATTCAGGATGTGGAATCTTGATGCTATTAGCATGTGCTAGCATAATCATCTCCTCCTGACTCTAGTTTAAGCTTTATTACAAACAGATGGTTTCCATGCCGCTGCAAACAAACAACTGGATCATCTGCGGGTCTGCAGTGCTAGTTACTGATTTGATGTCATGAACATTTTGTTCCTTCATGGAACTCCATAGGAATATTTAATCCTGACATTTTAAGATACTTTTGGTTAACAGTTACTCACTTGTCTTTTTTTTCTTGCAGGCACCGATGAGGCAGCTGTCACTGAGGTCCTATCGCACCGTACTATTGCACAAAGGCAGCGCATCAAAGAGGTCTTCAAACAAGCTGTGGGAAAGGTGAGGGTTTTCACTGAGCTGTATGCAAAGGCAGTGAATATCGTCTATTTGTGAACAGATTAAGGGTTTTTAGTTTTTTTGTCATGAATCATCATGCAAGTTAGGAAATAATGATGGATAGAGTGTGTGAAGAATTTAAAAGAAGCTGTGGATGTTTTCCCTCTTCTTCCATTGTGTTATCTCACATAGTTTGTCACTAAGGTGGGTGTGTGCTGTGCCAACAAAGCACTGATAATCTCCAAGTTAATCATTACCGTAAAGCAGAAATGAATACCACCTGCAAACAAACGCCTGGACAGAGAAGGCCTTGTAACCTGTTAAACATGGGAACATGGCCTTCATTAAAACCAAGCACACTGAACCCGCAAAGGTCTATCCCACTGACTGCTTCTTTGTTTCATGCTTATGTAGATCAATATATTAACTAAAACGTACTGTGGGATGTTCATTATACTGACATGATGAGATGAGAAAACTATGCAGTGTCTGTTGACTGGACGATAAACTCTGAAAGTTTCCTCTGAGGAAGCAGCAGAAAAAGAGTGTGTGGATCCTCTCCGCAGAAAGAGTGAGTCATCTTCCACATGGCGACGCCCACATGTGGTCACACAGCCGAGCTTTGTGGAGCAAGACTGGGTCTACAAAACCACACCCTCTAACAGGGACCCGAGCGCTGCTGCTGGAATGTGCCAAAATCATGTGTCATGTCCACGCTGGCAGCTCAAACCCCAAACAAAAAGCATCAGTTCACTTATTTCAAAGTTAGAAATAATCAGCGTTCATTCAGGACGCCATTTTTTTGATGAAATGTTTAAGCACTGGGATGATTGATGGGCTGTTTTCCTTGTTTTATCCATCTGTACATATCCTCTTGCAGGACCTGGCTGACGAGCTGTCCTCAGAGCTGAGTGGGAACTTCAGGAGCGTTGTTTTAGGTCTGCTGATGCTGCCGCCTGTGTATGATGCCTACGAGCTGAAATATGCAATGAAGGTCAGAGATTCAAACTTCTCCTTTAACAAAAAAACAAGTCCAGTGGTTGTCAACATGTCTCTTGAAAAGACAAACAACAACAATGCGTTCATCCCACAAAAAAATACAGCCTGTTCATTCTTCATTTATATGTGCCATAGTGCTTCATTGTAATCACACACCATCAGATTCATCATGGCATTGTGTTGACACATTTCTTTATTACATTGAAACAGAGTAACTTTGTTTTATTAAGTCAATCCTACACACACATTTTTCCTGCTATAAAGTCTACATGGAAGACTGAAAGAGCGACAGAGACACTCATTTGATTTAGCTCATTTGATGGGATTTGTTGACTAATACAAAATGCAGAATATAAATAATATCTACTTCAGTTCATTCACTTGTCTTTTGAAGGCAGTGAAGTGATCAGACCCTCTTTTTGACCGATTGTTTTTTGACACCTGTCTGTTTGTCACAGGGGGCTGGAACCGAGGAGGCTGCTCTCATCGATATTCTCGCTTCAAGGTCAAATGCGGAAGTAAAAGCCATCAATGCTTTCTACAAGAAAGGTAAGTGTGTCTCTTCTAGAAATAGTATTCTGACTTCTGTTCGCAGTGCGACTCAGTGTCTGTTGGTTACCTATGAGTTGTGTATGATATCCGATCTCGTGTATCAGTGACGGCCCTGTGTTCTTTGTTTGAAGATTCATTGACCTCCGTCATTAGAAAACAGTGGATGGAATAAATTATTCATAAAAGCCATTGCTGCTCTTTATGTGGCAGTTTATTGTCTATTTTCTGCTCCTTGGCTGCAATGACACAAGTTGGTATTTCCAGTGTTTTGTCTTTAGCTTTGTCTGATGGTGCGATCCATTTACTGGGATCTCAGAGCTAGGAATGAAGTCACACCTGAGTTAACAACATTCCAGTTACGAGTTGGCAACATGCCGGACAAGAAACAAGGACACCTCCAAACAAACACAACAAAACACACTTCATGATAGTTTAACATACCATGACAACATGCCCACAGATAGAACCTGCACAATGCTATCGGTCTGATTGATTTAATTACACAAAAAGAGGATTGAGTTGCTAAAAAAATCACAATAATTACAGCTTAAACATAACTGTTGATGCACCTAGCAGCCATGTTGGATTTCATCCATGTTTCCAAGTCAGAATTCCGACTTCAGAAGTGTGTTCCTGATGACATATCAGGCCGACGACTCGGAATTTCCGACTTCCGCAACAAATGGAACGCACCATCACAGTGAATTTCAAAGCAACTCGTTTTAGTAGTTTACACTCTCACTTATATGGAGCTGTGTCTATTCCATTTAGCAGCAAAGTCTGAGAATTTAGACCACAGTATAAAAAGTATTCATGAAATCATAACTTCAGCTGTAGTTATTTCCTTGAATTCACATGATCCCCATGAGCTGCTTAAACCTATAATACTCCATTCTTGTGTGAATGTGTTTGTTTTTTGTGTCGCAGTAAAATAACATAAATGCTTTACTGAGCTTTGCCTTTTTATACACTGTGAGCTCAGTATTTTAGTTTTAAAGGACATTATCCAAATGATTGAAAAGGCTTAATTCTGCACCAAACAGTACACACACACACACACACACACACAAACAGTTATTAGTGACATAAGAATATATTTTCACAAGTTAAAGATATCTATTCAGGAGGTTGTGAGAGAAAAATTAATGAACGGGAATACATGTTGTTTTGCAGAAGGCCGAAAACACTTAATAATGAGTGCTTATAAAACTTTATATTGAGACATTATTCACCATTATTCGACGACTGTTAATTAATCAGTGTGTTTGCTTTGTGTTATAGAATATGGGAAAAGCTTGGAGGACGCTGTTTGTGGGGACACATCAGGCATGTTTCAGAGGGTTTTGGTGTCATTACTCACGGTAAGGGATTGATAGCTCAGGACCTCCCCTAGCATGGACTGATGCAAAAAGTGTATGAGTTATATAAAAATGTAATTACATCTTTAATTCATGAAAAAATGCAGGTCAGAGAAAAACAAATACATCTTGTTTTCTTTAACAGTTAGGGGATATCTTTCAGAGTTGAAGTGTTGTGAAATTCTTCTTCTTTTTTCAAATATTATAATTCACAATCGTTCTAGGAGAGGAGGAACTTCCTTTTGCATTATGAAAACGTGAATTTAGATTTCTTGTCTATTTTCTGTCTCAACAATCCTACACTCAGTTCCTCAGAAGTCGCTCTGTTCTCTGTGTTGTAGGCTGGACGGGATGAAAGCGACAATGTGGACAACGCCCAGGCTGTCCTGGATGCTAAGGCAAGACTTCAGTTTCTTCAGCTGAAATCACTTGTGTTTAATATAATCATCACTTTTCTCATGTTTGTGATCACAGGAAATCTACGAGGCCGGTGAGGCTCGATGGGGCACAGACGAGGTGAAATTCCTCACCGTGCTTTGTGTCAGGAACCAGAAACATCTGCTGAGAGGTACTCATGCTGAATTTTACTCAACACACATTCAAACCTTCAAACCAAATATCCATGGGCTTTTTTGTCGCATGACTCAATATCGCCAAAGAAGTCATGTGATAGACCCAGGATATTTAATTTCAGATTCAGGAGCAAACACTCTCTTTGAATGACTTTTCCTCCTTAGTTCATGTAGTCTTCTTTTGTGTTATGAATTTAAGGATAAAAAAACAGTCAGATGGATGTTATTCTACAACCCCTTTAATGTTTGTTTTTTTATCTTCCTGTAGTGTTCGAGGAGTACAAGAAGATTTCTGGTAGAGAAATCGAGGACAGCATTAAGAGGGAGATGTCCGGCTGCCTTGAGGACGTCTTTCTGGCCATAGGTCTGTCTCTCTGCTGCAACATATTCCTTAGAGATAGATATGACAAATAGACATCTTCTGCCAGGAAATCTTGCTAAGCATGTCTGTTGGAAGTTTTTCATACTGTAGAAAAACACACAGCTGTAACTGCCTACCAAAGATATCATGACAATTTAAAATAATGAGGAACTTACTCTGAAAAGTGTCAGCCGCAGGAGGCGACTGTATCAGCTCGATACACACGTCTGTGGAAACCCTTGTGTGCTGGCCTAAATAAAAGGAATGCTTGTTTAATGCATGCAACCGGTCTGCAGTAGTACAGTCACATTTTTCTTCAATGTAACACATCTGCTTTTCTTTGTCGGTAAGCTGTGTGCCAAGATAAAAGCTAATTTAAACACTGAGCTCATACCACCTTTTTTTTTTTTTTTGTTCAATAAATGTTGCACCTTATTTGACTTCTTTTTCTTTTTTGCTCGACAGTGAAATGCATTAGGAACAAGCCGGCGTTCTTTGCAGAGCGATTATACAAATCAATGAAGGTATATTTGAAATGTTCCTAACAAAAGAAGAGTAAACTGCAGTCAGTGTTGTAAAAACAAGAAAGGGGAAACATCTTTTTCTATTAACACTTCATTCTCTCTCGTCAGGGGCTGGGCACTACAGATAGTGTCCTCATCAGAATAATGGTTGCTAGGGCAGAGATTGACATGTTGGACATCAAAGCGGAGTTCCTGAAGATGTACGGCAAGACTCTCCACTCCTTCATCAAGGTGAGGCACCACAGCTAAGAGGTGGAAACAGTGCAGTCAGCAAAAGCTTTGAAATACATCAGCCGTGATAGAATTATAATATCTGTTGCTTATAAAGGTCTTAGAATTGAATAAGAATATCAAAGCATTTTATCAGATTGTTTCATGCGTCTGTTGGCAATTTGTCCTTTGAAGTCTCACAGATCTTTTCTTTTTTTTTTTTCCCCGCTGCTCAGGGAGACACCTCTGGTGACTACCGCAAAATCCTGCTGGAGCTGTGTGGAGGCGAGTAGAGAGACATCACAGCAGCGTTCAGCTGGCTCTTGATTCTGGAGACCACATTATGATCTTTTTTTTTTTTTCCGTTAATGAATTCCTGTATCTCTTATCTTTTCTACTTCCATGGCCTTTTACATTTCCCTGATGGACCACGGTGCCTCATTTTACTGTTTGTAATAGAAATTAAACCAAAGAGCAGTGACCTTTTACACCCGTCTGTGTTTGTGTTATTGATCCTGCGTTAAGGATAAATAATTGTTATTACTTGGAGAGGGAGCTATATCCCCCTCAAGTCTCTAAGCACATAAAAGATGAATGTTATTGGCCTTCCAGCTCTCGTTGTTACAGCCTGATATTGTCCATCACTGTCCCGTCAGTGAGCTCCATTTGTTTAATTAGTTGCAATTACTCATCGGTTGAGTCAGCCCTTCATTTAACTCAATTACATTACCACACTGCTAGCTTGATTTGAGGCAGTAAAATTTGTTCTAATTAAGTTAAGGAGCACGTCCCCTTGCTCATACAAACATCAGATACAACACAGTCATAATAATGTGCAGTATTTTTACCCAAAGTGACCACTAGGTGGAACCAAAACTACTCTCCTTACAGTTAGTCTGAAGCAGCATTGAAGGGAATTCTCCCAGCATCCTCTCTGATTAAAGCACTTAATGTTTTATATTGTGCTGCAAAATATCAAATGTCATTTTATAGCCCTTTTTCGAAAGTGAGGGCCTAACATGTGCCCTATACAGACTTACAAATGGAATCCAATTAGCTTTAGCAGCTTAACACTCAACTGGCAGGCTCTCCAATTACTCTTTATGGTGCAAACAGGAAAAAAAAAAAAAACATCACTAAACCATCATCAGACTAAATGTTTACCATATTTCTCCCTCTGAGGGGCTACCACCCTGTGTGTTCACCTGCTTAAATCAGCAGGTTTTTAATTCACTGAATTTGATCGGAGCTTCAGAGGAGCTAATAAGTCGATTCTGGAAACATTTAGTGAATGTTAGATTTGTTCAGAGCAAAGTTTTGGTCCATGTATCCTTACAGGCTATGTAGCAACTACAGTTGTAAATGATTAGATATCTGACATTGTAAAGGGGAACAGTGGTATATATTTCAAATGAAATGCTTTTAAAAGAGGCCTCTGTTTTATTGTGTACAATATCAATCCTGTAGAAGCACCTGCATTCATTTGAGTTCTTGGCATGGACGCTTTTCATTAGAGAGAAGGAGGATTTGTTTTTTCAACTGTGAACAACAATCTAATAAAAGTGAGCATATTAAGTAAACACAATTTACTGAAAACGTTTCAACAGGGGCCTCTGAAGAGCAAAACAAGGTAATAAATGGTTTATTGTACAAGTCTATACGCTCACTTTCATTAAGAATAAGTTGTTCTCTGAGGTTTAACAAGTCAAGGAAACCTTTAAGAAGAGCTGCACCAGATGGAATAAACAAGACAAGCACACAAAACAACAGGAGGAATGTACTGAACAGAAGAGACAAGGTGTTTATTTTCACTTTCAAAGCTTGACAAACATCCCAAGATCTGAGCAGATGAGTCAGCATAAGAATGCAGATATTACCACGGCAATAAAAAAACGGAAATACTCCATCAGGGGTAAATGTGTTGTATGCATGTTTCAATGAACTGAACACTAAACACTCTGCAGATAAATGAAGGTGGCAAGATGAACTCATGAACAGCATAGATTACCTGAGAGTTATGCCTGTTGCTTTGACCCTGGTTTGAGATTTGGAAACACATTTTTAGACTGAAATATGTTTTACAAGCAACTTCCGTTAAGTATAGATAAGAAAACACGGGTTGAAAGGTATTTCAAGGCCTCCTCCTGAAAAGGTAAAAAAAATTAAAAAAGACACAGTGCTAATTCATCTATTTCAGTTTTCAATCTATCATAGGAAGAAAGTCAAAATATGATAAAAATATATTACTATATATCTTCATTCACTGCTCTAAAATGTCCACTTATTCATTATTTATATATTATACATATTGTATATTGTTTATTTATTTATAGCTTCTGCTTTCAGTCTGCTAAATGCTGACAGCAGTAACTGACTTGTAGGTCAGTTCCTATACAGTGGTGCATGTAGTGTTTTCATTACTGATCTTTGTATTTGGAGTTGAAGTTCTTTTAATGGCGAGAGATTCAACATGTCATGCCCATTATCATATCGCATACCTGAGTCATTATAAACATTCAGACAACTTTCAACTGAAGACTTGAATAATTCATGTATTTATTTGTCGAATCCAGAAAAACTAAGCATGTCAACTCAATTGTTTTAAGGAGCTATTTATCAGGTCTTATTGGGACTGACATTTTTATATTAATTGAATCCCCCCAAATAATGAGATTTAAAACAGGCGATGGGATTGAAGAACGATTATTTCTTGGTTTGGATTCAAGTCTGACATGCGGCTCCTTTCTCGCATGTCATTCCCTTCTGTCTCTCTCTCTCTCTCTCTCCCCGATTTCTTACTCTATCCCCTGTCTTCAATCAATCAATCAAGCTTTATTCATAAAGCACCTTTCATACAAATCAGATGCAATTCAAAGTGATTTACAGCGACTGAAAAACAAGAAAGAAATAACTTAAAATAGCGACCAAACATGCTACAAACTAAAGTGGATTCAGATACTAATGCACACCAATAGTGAAATAAAGGTTGAACCTTTGGAAAGTTCTTTAGTTTGGGTCGGCAGATATGGAAAATGATTCCGGTCAGAGAATCAGGACAGCAGAGAGGATTCACAGCTCAAGGGTTTTATTCCATGACAGACACGTAGATTTACAGAGGCCACTTTGAACAAAGGAGATTGGCATAACTTGTGTCTAGTGTCTCATTCGTGGTTCCGTGTAGTCATGAGGATCAATCTATGTATCTTCGTGTGTGTATGTAGTGTGGTTCTAAAGGAAAGAAGGAAAAAATATATATGTAGGTAACACAAATGTGCATCATAGCATATACAATATATGATGTCCCTTTTGCAATAACAACCAATCTTGAAAATGTATCAAAGAAAAACTTGATGCAATTTAACTGGAATAGAATGAAGATAATAACTTTAGTAAGTACATATATGAAACTAGATCAAGTAAATATGAACAAACTTACTCTTTTCTGCTATACTCTGCTCTGCAGCATGTAAGCCACGTGCTTTATACGGTCCGAGCTCGTTACGTGTCTGAGCAGGCTCGTTAACTCTAGTCAGGCTTTCTCACAAATAGGAATAAATATATAGTAAATATATAAATATGTAGTGAAAACATTAAAAAGGTAAAGCACTGAAAAAAAGTGATAACAATTAGTAGTTTAAAAACAAATAATACATATTCAAAACTAAATGAATAAGGGTTAAGGGTTATACCTCTCACCTTACAAAAGTCAGAATTAGCCTATGATAAAACTAATTTACAGAAATGAACAACAAAAAAGATTGAATAGTTTTCTCCCTTTAAATTGTTTCAAACATGAATGAACCTCAAGTCAAGCAAGCTTTGACTTCTGATACTGGCTACCATTGAAAGGCAGCTTCAACCTTCACCACAAACAGCAGCCACAGACTCCGAGTAAATGTGAAAAACCAAGGGCAAGCTATCACAGCGGACAATTACGGAAGGCAGCATCGACACATGTCGAGACAAATGAATGTGTTTTCTTCTCTGCCAACATGCCCTTGTTGTGAAATGTTCAGGGTACACACAGAATCTTCACTGCAAGCACACCATGTTCAACCTCTAACAGATGCACTGTAAGATCAGACATGACGTTTACATCAGTATGATAAAAAAAAACTTTAACTAATGAGACTTTCCTGAAACCTTGAGTTGTATGAGAAAGTCCAGTGTAAAAAAAAAAAGGCATTCAGTGAATAGTGCAATGATAAAAAGACATGTTGACGTCTATTGACGTTTCAGGCACAGCTGCTATCATACATCGATGATGATCAGATTGATGTTACAGCATACTGTAGCACAGAAATAAAATAATATTCAACTGTCAGTGCGCAGTTGCACCACTGAATTTAGTTCAATTGCAAGAATTGTTTTCTGCATTGACCTGTTTCAAAACAGTGCAGGAATTATAGAACTCCTTGACCTCAGGATGATGACATCACTGACATATATTTCCTCCGGTTCAATGATGTCCAAAGTTACTCACTCAGTTTCACAAAATATGTTTCTGCTTCTAAAGATGTCAAAATCTGATCTAACAGAGTGTAAAGCTGCAAACCATTGGATCGCTTATTAAATCATGGTTTTACTGCACATAATATCTGTGTTTGGACGCTTCAGTAGGTATCTTTTAATAATCTCCCTCTTCATAGCTGGGTTGTTGAATATTACAATTATAAAATGTGCAGTGGCACATGAATGAAAGGAGCTTTTTAGGCTCAAGAAGGCTGAAGAAGTTGAATGTAATTTTTAGGCTGAAGAAGTTGAATGTAACCATGCTTCCCTAATACTTACATTGGCGATTCATTTGAGTGAAATTATAATGTAGAAGTAATATCTTATTATGTGTTTAAGGTGTTATGTAACCACTTATTTATAATAGAGAATTGACTAAACACAATGACATCTTAAGCTAATTAAAATTGACCCTTCCACACAGCATACAGTTTGACATGTCAGAGTAAGAAAAGCACAGATTTCATCACAATAACAATAAATCAGGGTCATTAAAGTGTCCCAGTCAGCCATGACGGTTTGACTCAATAGGAGGCTAAAAGCAATCTAGACATTGCCAAGGGACTACTGATATTAGCCTATGGCTACAATCTGGCATATTTACATGTTTTTGTTCATTCATATTCACTGTCCCTATTTTAAATGTATTCATAACTAAAAAGACAATCTGTATCATGCTTAATGTTCTAAAACCCGTCATCCTGGTCTTCTGGGCTGGGCAGGTATAACCCTTGTGTTATTTAGTTTCAGGTTAACTTATAAACAAAATATTTATCCCCTTTAGTTTGAGTCTTCTGTACAAATGTTTCCTTTTGAGAAATATGCACAATCAAAAAAAAAGAAAGACAAACCAGATGTTCTGAAAGATGTTCTTATTGTTGATTTGATAACTTGATTCAAGGGGTTGACCTGAACATTTTGTCATGAGCTGAAATGACCAAAAGAGTAAAACTGTACAGTGAGGAGCGACTGAGAG